TGGGTATTTAAGAAGCCATGCACGATCGCAGTTTTAGATCACCCCTGATGAAGACACTAGACTGGAGTGTCGAAACGTTGGGTCTTGATTACAATTCGACTGGGCTTTGTAATCATTTATTTAAACCAGAGTAGCGAGCGAAACATGAACATAAACTTGGTTCGCCAAAGTTTCAAGAATATCCAGATGTACGATGCCCTTCACGTGCGAATACGTGAAGGGCATCGTAGACAAGTCTGGATATTCGTTCGTGAAACTTTGGCGAACCAAGTTTATGTTGTTGCTACGGAGGAACTCTGATACCATGTATAAGAGCTCTCTGCTGCGGGGTAAATTGTGGCATCGCCATTTCAAAGTGTACGGGGTATTATACGAGAGAATGTTTTTCAGCACAAACAACTCGAAAGCACAAATTCCATGGAAATTCCACGGAACTCTCATGGGAGTAAAAATGAATTCATAATGAAGCAAGAACAGCACTAACAGAGAAAAATGTAACGTTTTCATAGGCTTTTCGGAGGATTTGTACTCGGTAAAATCCTGCCGAAATTTTATCATAAATGCAACAAATAGCGAACTTTTCATACATGAACTCAAATAAAGAATACCGTTTTTCATTTCCGTGCGCGAGCCCCATTTAGGAGAGCAAAAGTTCACCACCCCCCTGAATAGCAAAATTTACTATTTTCAATTTTTTTTATATTTTCCATAATATAAGAACTCAAGCAATCCATACATATGAAAATTATATTTCATGAACAGAATTGTGGAAATGAGAGCAATTTCAAAATTGTCTTACTTTTTTTGATACACTCTGTATATATATATATATATATATATATATATATATATATATATATATATATATATATATATATATATATATATATATATATATATATATATATATATATATATATACTTACAAGAGAGAAAAAGAAGAGAAATTGTTCTTATTATAGAAGTGAATACCAATTTTGTATGAGGCATTTGGGTTCTTATAAGAATTAGACTACAATATGCTATTAATTTTATCATATAGCAGAATGTTTTATAGCATGTCTTATACATTGTATAATAAAAAATGTTGTTTAATTTACTTTTTGAAAGTGCTGTTGAAATTTATATCTATAAATTTCGTTTCTAATGAATTCCATACGTCAATTCCTTTATTTGAGAGAGTGTGTTCTACATAATTTGTTCTTTTATAATATTTGTGAAGTTTTGAAGAATTTCTTGTGTTATGTTGATGAATTTGGTTGTTTGTCCCAAAAGTATCTTTAAAAAATTCTGGTAAATTATTAAGATGATGGTATCGAAACATAACTAAAACAGTTAAACAGTCGTTGATTTTGAAGATGTTGAGGATATTTAAATCTTTGAAAATTGGATCAAAGTAAGATTTGAATGGCATTAAACGCACTATTTTTTTGTATCTTCAGTATGTTTTGAATTCTGTTTTTGTAAGTATTACTCCACGTTAGGTTGCCGTAAATCAAGTATGGATAGACTAATGCATAGTATATCAGCTTTACGGTATTTCCGTTTACGAAGTGTCGTATTTTAGCTATTATACCAGCATGCAGCTCTAATTAATTTCTTTGCTACCTTCGCTATATGATCTTTCCAGGTCAAACATTCGTCAATGACAATACCAAGGAATAATGTATTTCTAACTTGTTCAATATTATTACCATTAATGTTCATTTTAATGTTTTGTTTTGGTTTTTTATTTGAAGATCGGAATATTTAGAGATAACTTATTCGCATTTAACCATTCAGCAACTTTATCAATTTCAGTTTGCATAATCTTATTAATTGTTTTTAGACACTTGTTACTATAGAATATATTAGTTTATAATATAGCATTTGTAAATTCTGAACGCTGATTGGCTAAAAGCCGTGTTGATATAACTCAATGTCAACACGGGAAATTTTCCGCCGCTTGTAAATACGGAAATTTTTCTTATCCTTCGGGCTTTTGACATTGCTATATTATAAAAAAAATATAAAACATTTTTTCCGTATTGATATATAGTTATATCAACACTCGCGGAAGTTGGGGAAACTCGAAATTGTATGAAAACACTCCGCCCTTCGGGCGTTGTGTTTCCATACAATTTCTCGTTTTCCCATTTCCACTCGTGTTGATATAACTGTATATCAACACGGAAAATGTTTTATATTTGTTAAGTCATCTGCAAATAATATAAATGAAATTAATTTGCTACAATTTTCAATATCATTGATATAGAGAAAAAATAAAATTGGTCCAATAATTGACCCCTGTGAGACACCACTTTTAATTATTTAACAATCTGTTTTCTGTTATTTAAGTAATTTTCAAACCACTGCTTGTTATTCCGCGTATACCATAGTGTTCTAGTTTTTTAATCAGACAATCTTTTCTTGTTTTAATTGTCACAGAGAAATCGATAGCCGTCCGGTTAATAGGACCATCAAGTTCCAATGGTACTGGTCGTGTGGAAGTATTCTACAATGGACAATGGGGAACAATATGTCATGATTATTGGAATATAAATATTGCTAAGGTTGTGTGTCGTCAAGTTGGTTTTCCATATGCAATTAAAGCTCTTCGAGGGTATCAAGTTCCTGATGGAACTGGGAAGATATGGCTAGATAATGTCATATGTACTGGAAATGAACAAAGTCTAATCAATTGTTCTCACAACGGATGGGGAAATCATAATTGTGGCCATTATCAGGACGCAGGGGTAGAATGTTCTCGAGGTAAAATGATAGTATCAATACCATAAGTGCATGTAATGATAACTTATAAACTCGGGTGTCGCTTTGTAAAATGGAAAAATTCATCTCCCACCAACTGTGAATAATTTTAGTATTGCATTTGCACAAATGAAAACATGATTTAATGCATCATGTACTGTTTAATAAACGAGCAGGAGTGTTTTATTAGGTTTAAAGCCACGAGCGCGCAGCGCAACTGGCTTTAGATCTAATAAAACACGACCTGCGAGTTTATTAAACGGCTTCAAACACACGACTACAAATTCAATAGATATACTGCCTTATTAGTTATTGTTATTGTATTTTAATTTCACATCCCTTAAAAGGCTTTTCAGCGAAATTTTACATAATTGATCTAAATTTTATACACTGTAGTAATAGAGAGACACACATAACAACACACAGTCACACAACACACACACACACACACACACACACACACACACTTGGTAATACTACACAAATATATATGCTATTTACATCAAAATGTCTTAAGATTGGTCCTAAATTTAAATGTTTCTACAAGTCTCTGTTTAGTATTCTTTATATAAAGAATACTAATCAGGACACGACTAAAATAGATACTGCTTTATTAGAATTCTTTATATAAAGAATACTAATTAGGAGTGTTTTATCAGGTTTAAAGCCACTGCACGTGACATATTATAGTTGACATGATTTGCCAATAAGCTTATGAATTATTAATGAGTGTTTGAAATATGTTTTTCGTGACAGCAAAATAGGTCTAATCTATTTATTAATCTTTCATTGAATTAAACACAAAAAACCTATCCATAGGCCTACTTAAAACAAGTGTGCAATACTGCAATGGTCAAAATAAATAAAAATCTTGCAAACAATCCCGGGAATGTTTTGGTTTGAGCTGATAGAAAAATGTAATGCGTTATTTAAATTATAAAAAACAATATATTATGGTATAATCATGGATAATAAAATAAATGGATAGGACTCTAGCTGACGTAAGCAAAAACAACCTAGTTGCAATCTGTGACGTCACGCGTATTGCAAAGTTCTCGGTATTTTTGTTGTTTCGCTATACTTTCCGCATTAGAAGAGTAATATTCAAGCATATACTGGTCTAATTGTTTTAAGAACATGCCTAAGCCACGACAAAGTATTCAAGGTAAATGTTTTTCGTCTTTGTTTTGTATTTTTTTTTTACATTTGTAGCTACGAAATTGGCGTCCCCAATTTAATGAAATTTGGGATGCCTTTTTCACTGTTTAGTGCTTGAAATATTTGCTAAAATTGACTGGGAATACTTTGAGATTTCATCGTAGAATGGCGTAGTTATATTCATTTGCTCTTTGACTAAAATGTTTAGCTGTATTATTGCTAAACATGCCGTTTTTGAGAATTTGGT